CACTGGCTGGAGATATCATAAAAGTTAACTGTGCTACCAATGTAATGGAGATGATTCTTTAAATTTATTACAGGACAATGAAGTTTTCCAAGTTGAACATTTCCACTGCATTGCACGTCCAGGACCGCGTCAGGACTGCATGCTGCTCTGCAATGACTTGTTAAGTGTGACAGATAGAGGCACCTCGTATTTCAAGACTTCTCTCTCAAGCAAATCTCTTTTTATCTTTGTCCCTCAGGATTTATTCCCTCTGTTACACTCTGGCTGCTCCGTCTCCAGAGAGCTCCACAGCATGGAATGTGGCATTGCCTGTTTTTTTTATAATCTTGGCATGAACTCAGAAGAGTAAGAAAGATAGGTCCAAGAGCAGCTGTGCAAGAATGAGAGACAGAGTAAGGTGCAAGTTTCCTACCTCTTTCAGGACTCAATTGAATCTGCCTTCTCCTCCAATGTTTGATTTCCCCCAAAGGAGATTTCTTCTCCTTTCTTTCTCTTCCAGATGACAATTGATTTACCTACCTCTCCTTTCTCTGACTCTACAGCATATCAAGACCAGTGACCAGCAACCCCTGCCTTGAGATTCCCAGGGGAAATCTCACAAACTATTTCTAAAGTGCCTGTGAAAAATAAATGGAAAACCAGGTCTACCATCTACCAGGCTTAAATCTACTACTGTGGGGTCCACATTGCCACTGGACATTGTTTTACAGGGAGTTTATAGATCCAGAATAAAAGCTTGGAAAACTACTGACACACAAATACATGCTCCTCTGGGCAAAAGCTTTGGGATTCCTTCCTTTACCCTGTGGAGTTACATGGACCAGAATGATTAGTTGTCACAGGCATTTCCCAAAATCTCTGTCTGCCTTTTGGGAGTTACCTGGACATTCTTGAAATGTGTGTGTGCATGTGGGCAGCAGCTGAGCTGGTGAGATGGGGTATGGAAACTGCAGTTTGATTTAGGGGTAAAGGCCATGAAAGTTTTTCAATGCATATAAGTCTTTCAATGCTAACTGCCTGTTGCCTGTGGACCAAAATGGACAACTGTGGTGAGGACAACTCAAGCTCACATAAATGGCTAAAATGTTAATAAATTTAGAGGGCTGCGCCAGTGCATTAGTAAAACTGTCTGGAGCTGATCATGGCAAAGCAGACGCAGATCTGTGCAACCTTGCTAAAGAATTTCAGTCACAAACTGAACTGCCTCCTACTAACCATAGTCCAGAGACTTCTTTGATCAGAGAATACCAATTATTTCAATCTGCAGACATAAATAAAATCACCAAATTCCCATGTGCTTGCTTGCTACCAGAGGTCCTGATTCAGTTACCTTCATGTGTACACTGTACTCCCTTGAATGCTCTCTTATTGTTACATTAGTAAACAAGTACCTCAAGTCTATTTACAGGAGGTCAAACGCCTCTTTCCTTAGAGGTAATTTAAAGAAGGAAAAAAACCACAGCTCCTGCAGAGATCTTAATTTAAAAAACCCAAACCCACAAACCACCACCAAATAAACAAACACAAAATTAAAAAGGAAAAGAAAAAAAGAATATTTTTAAGGCCTACTGTACCTTTCAGGGGGTTTGGTCTATCTCTTTCCCACAGACAACTCAGTCTTCCTTCTCCAGCAGCCAGCCTAGTTAGCTCTGGAATTCTTTGCTTCAGTTACATCCCTTAATAATTTAAGATGTTAGTTACCCCCTGTATGAGACAGTCACCCCTGAACCACCCTTCTTCACCTATTTCTAGTTCCCTGTATTTCAGATAACACTTTAGACCAATACTACACTATTAACAAACAGTGCTCCCTCACCCCTGAAGGATGTTTGAATGGGGATTTTATCTTCATTATGACCATTCAAATATTGTCAATATATTTCTCCAGCCTAAAATTCAGTCATTGAGGAATTCACCTTTTCTACCATATATTATCACTTTATATGCACAGCAGAGGATGCTTAGGTTGGAAAACTCACCGACTATTAATCCTGTCAGGAGTGAGAAAGCTTCCTTTATCTCATCTCATAACTTCTCTCTCTCCTAGCAAAAACAAACCCATCACCCATAATCTTCCTTCAAACACATTACCTATTTTGCTACAGGCTGTTCTCTATGGTTTAAACAACCTCAAGGTAATAAGGTTATTATTTAAAGCGAGCTTCTCTCCTCTTTCCACCAAGTTCCCTTCATCATTAACTCACATTCCACATACACACCCTGTGCAGTAAGGAATAGCAACACGGACCGGAGCTGGGTCAGTCCCCCGAAGCAATGTAACTGCAACACAATATAAGAATTTGGCAACATAATCTGTAGTGTTTGCTGAGCATCTTTCCACATGGATTGCAGGCTGGACATCAGAAGGAGGCTGGGACACACGGCCGAGTTGCCGCATAATAGGCTGTGACTAATAGCCAGGCTTCGGTAACCAATATTTGCATTAAACTTGTTCCTTCCAAATACAAGGTAAAATTTAGTTTAAATATCTTTCCCTGCGGTTTATGCTAATGGCACTTCACATTTGCACAGGACTAAAAGCATGTGGCAGGTTGCTGTGGGTCACCTGATACATGCACCTGACCCTTTAGTAGCATTTTTCATGCCATGAAACACATTTAAATCTTCCTCAAGACCTTAAATAACTCCACTGCAAGTGGCATTCTGTTCTGCTCATCCAACACCTCCTTGTCTCCATGTACACATCCCTCCTTTGGGCTTACTTCTGGCTTTTTAATCCACTTTCCTTCATGCTCCTGTTAAGCCTTGAATTACCTCCTACACTTCACATCTTGGTCATATGGCCGTTCCTTCTACCCCTCTATTCCTTTGATCCTGGCTGTCCTCCTCAGTGCTTGCATTAGTCCTTCAGTAACTCGTGAGGGGGACCTATCACTATGCTATTTTCCATGTAAAATTAACAGAATGCTAAATACTAATTAATATTTCCATAGTATCCACAGGGAATGATTCCCTCTGGCTTTCTGGAGTTAGCAAAGTCACAAACACTTTGCTGACTTGCAATTTCTTCCCACCTGGGCAGTTGTTGAAAAATCCCATTCTGAGATTAGGTTTCCCTCTTCCTTCTTCTTTGCTAATGGTTCCCTACTCCTGGCCTACACTTCTACAGCAAACCACCTGTAATCAAAACACTAATATTATGCCTTCTTTTTTACCTCATTGTTTTGCTTTGCTTTCTGTTTTTCTGCAAAACTGTTTGTTGCTTAACAGCAAAAGAAAAACACAAAATTAAAACCAGTAGTTTGTTTCACGAGACACCAGACATCCACCCACAGCCCCAACAGGAACTAAAGGTGATTTCATGATTTCTTGTAGACAACAGAAAGGACCAACTAGAAACTGAGCAGAGGCACCTGTGACTGGGTTCTCACCACTACTTGATGGCACACTGGCTACATCAGGGACAATGTGGTTCACACTCATTTAAGACCTTCATGACACTGAAGCTAAGAATCCAAAGCTCATTGGAAAGAATATGAGCTGGGTGGTTCAGCATCCCATGCAAGCCCTCCTCTGCTCAGCAAGAAGAGGATTATTGCTGTTCCAAGCATTCTTCCTTGGACTGTCGCAAGTCTTGGTAGAGATGATAACTATTGGGTTAGATCCTGGTATGTTTGAGAGTTGCTTTTATCAGATTTCATTTTCATCCTTCGTTGTCAAGGCAAAGGTATGACTATTGAAAAAAAGAATGACCATGAAGCAGAGGTGCCTTTTGAATTTACATACAGAATTAGCAAAATGTGTTGAACTTCTGGCATCCTCTGTGCCAGGCATTGACATGACAGAGCTCCCAGCACAGTCTCTGAGTTATTTACCTGAGGGTGGAAAACTACAGGGTGGTAGGAAAGTAAAGTTTCCTTAAACTCTTACCTTCAGTCTAACTTCTAGCAAGTCTGTATTTGAAGAAACCTACATCTCCTAGAATTTAATTTACACACAGAGCAACCTCATATCCTCACACCCTCAAGATAAATAAATGGCTAAATTGAAATACTGAATATTGTAAGGCCTTGTTCATTCAATTATTCTTTTTTCTCCAAGATTACCCTGCAGACCTGAATGATTAACTACTTAAACATACTCTTTCAGAAAAGCAATTTCTTAGCTGCTAAGAAGTCAGAGTGAGATCCAGAACCACGGCAAAATACATCTGGTGGGGTTTTGGTTTTTTTTTCAAAGGAGGAGAGTTGCACAGGCATTTTTGCAGAACAAAACAAAAGCTGTTTTGCTTAAGAAGGAAAGTTGCTGTGCTGGTCTGATGCTTTTCTTAACACATGTCAGAATATGTTTCTGCGTATGTACATCACCTTTCCTACAGCTTGGATGGGTTATCATTTTGAAGCTTGTAGGGCCTGGAAATCTGAATAGATTGTTCAACTACATCTGACTGTACAACAGTTTGGAAATAATGAGGAAATCTTGACCAAACCCAATTTTAAGATTACCTTCAGGTTTTAAGCTCTTGAGCAAGAACCTTCTTTGTTCTCTGTTTGCACAGTGCC